GGGATAGCCTGGGGAGAAATGCCAAATGTGGGTGAAGGGGAGGAAGGCAGCAAAACACACTGCCATGTGTGTACCTATGCAACTATCTTGCATGTTCTGCACATGTACCCCAAAACCTAAAATGCAATAAAAAAATAAAAGATATAAATTAAAAAAGAAAATAATAAAATAAGATGTATTTAACATTTTCCTAATGAATATGTAGTTTCTCATTTCTTTAAGAAAGCTTATAAAGAAATGAGGTGGAGGCCGAGGTTAGAGTAAACAGATTGTGCCACTGCACTCCAGCCTGGGTAACAGTAAAACTCCATTAAAAAAAAAAAAAGTTTAAGATCCTTGGTAAGTAGGAAATTTTAGGTAAAAAGCAAAAGATAGGGAAAGCTGAAGCGATGCGAGGAAACTCAGAGCAAATGTTCTCTGCTTTCCCGTTAAGTTTTTTGTTTTGTTTTGTTTTAGTGTCAGGGTCTTGCTGTGTCGCCCAGGCAAGAGTGCAGTGGTGTAATCATAGCTCACTGCAGCCTTGAATTCCAGGACTCAAGGAATCCTCCAGCCTCAGCTGCCCAACTAACTGGGACTAGAGACATGCACCACCGCATTCTGCTGTTTTTGTGTATGTGCAAAAATAGGGGCTCACTATGTTGCCCAGGCTGGTCTCAAACTCTAGATTCTTCCATCTCAGACTCTTAAGTAGCTGGAATCGCCACCATTTAGCCACCATGCCCAGCCTAAAATCAAGACATATTAGCAAGAGAGTTCACAAGTTTTGTTTCTCTGTTGCACTGAAGGCAATTCTACCGTGACACATCCAGTATCTTCTCCTTCTGAACTCAAGGTGTTTTTGATCTTGAGTCATGATTTTGCACGGCATGTATGACCTCAAAGCAACATGGCGAAAGTTTTCTACCTTCTCTATCTCTAACGTGTATCCACATCATCAAACTGCATTGCTCACCGTTTATCAAAACTCCCATCCTGCCCTGACACATCTCTGGCTTCTCATCTGAATTGGAACCAATACATAGACCTAATGCATTGAAATCGTTGGCACCTGACTCCCAATCTGTAAACTCCCAGCTTTTGCCATGATTCGGGATACTTTGATTTATTTTATTTTTGAGACAGAGTTTTGCTCTGTCACCCAGGCTGGAGTGCAGTGGTGCAATCTCGGCTCACTGCAACTTCTACCTCCTGGGTTCAAGTGATTCTCCTGCCTCAGCCTCCCTGAGTAGCTGGGATTACAGGTGTGCACCACCACACCTGGCTAATTTTTGTATTTTTAGTAGAGACGGGGTTTCACCATGTTAGCCAGGCTGGTCTCGAACTCCTGACCTCAAGTGATTCTTCCACCTCCAAAACGTGCTGGGATTATAGGCATGAGCCACTGCACGGGGCCCAACTTCTTAGCCCTTTTGGCTTTACTGTATCTCCTCTCCTAATTCGTAGAGACCCCCAAGCCATCTATTCTTCAACTATGTTGTTATTGATAACCTCATTTCTTTAGGTGACTAACATGCCATGGTCCATTCCTTCAATCGTGTATTTTCCAAAACCTCAAATCCACTTGCCCTAGAAAATTCTAACATCTGTCTCTCCTGCCTACATAATTCTGCCCCCACTGGTGATATGGGAATCACTAAAAATTGGAGGTCACTTACTCTAAATGGGCCTTCAACAGTACAGGAAATTTCCAATGGGCAAAGATCTTTTCACAGTTTCTCCAGGATTTTGAACTCACACCGTCTCCACTTCCCTCTTTATTTATTTATTATTTATTTATTGAGACGGAGTTTCACTCTTGTTATGCAGGCTGGAGTGCAATGGTGCAATCTCGGCTCACTGCAACCTCCGCCTCCCGTGTCCAAGCGATTCTCCTGCCTCAGCCTCTCGAGTAGCTGGGATTACAGGCACCCACCCCCACGTACGGTTAATTTTTGTATCTTTAGTAGAGACTGGGTTTCACCATCTTTTTCAGGCTGGTCTCAAACTCCTGACCTCAGGTGATCCACCCACCTCAGCCTCTCAGAGTACTGGGATTACAGGCATGAGCCACCGCGCCTGGCTTCTAACGAATGATTTTACAGCTTACTGCAGAGAGAAACAGTAACAACAATTAGAAAGATTTCTCTATTTTTTTCTCTTATCCTAGATTCGAGAGATTTCTCACGTTCTTGACACTAGTGCAAAACAATCCAACAACAACGTCACGGTTTCTTTCTTCTTTCACTCTGCAACCATGAGATATCTGCCTTCTTACCTAAAGCCGCGATTTCTCATCATTGGCGCGACTGACATTCAGGGTCTGATATTTCTTTGTTAGAGGGAGTAGGGCATTCTATATTCTAATCACTAGAAGGCAGTAGTATCCCGGGTAGTGGTAAAAACAAAAATGTCTCCAGACATTGTCAGATACCCCCAGGTGGCACAATTGCCCCTGTTAAGAATCAAAACAGCGGAGGCGGCTGGATCACTTAAGGTCAGGAGTTTGAGATTAGCCTGACAAACATGGTGATATCCCGTCTCTACTAAAATTACAAAACTAGACAGGTGTAGTGGCTAATTACAGGCTCCGTGCCTGTAATTCCAGCTACTTGCGAGGCTGAGACAGGAGAATTGCTTGAACCTGGGAGTTAAAGCAATTCTTGGAGGGAGGCGGAGGTTGCCGTGAGCCGATATCGTCCCATTGCACTCCACCCTGTCCCCAACATTCATCTCCTAACTTTTTGATAATAGCTCTCCTTAAGGATGCGAGGTGATATCTCATAGTAGTTTTAATTTGCATTTCCCTGATGATTAGTGATGTAGAGCACCTTTTCCTATACCTGTTGGCCTTTTTTATGCTTTCTTTGGAGAAACATCTGTTCAGACCCTTTGCCCATTTTAAAATCAGGTTATTTGTTTTCCTGCTATTGACTTGAAAGAATTCTTTATAAATTTTGGATATTAACCCCTTTTCAGACATGTGGTTTGCAAATATTTTTTCCCAGTCCATGGGTTGCCGATTCATTCTTTTGACTGTTTCCTTTTATGAAGAAGCTTTTTTGTTTGATGTTGTCCCTATTATTCACTAATTTTTGTTTTTGTGATAAAATCTTTTGGTGTAATATATTTTTAAAAATCTTTGCTAAGACCAAAATTGAGGAACTTTCCCCCAATGTTATTTTCTAGGAGTTTTATGGGTTCCGGTCTTACATTTAGGTCTTTTATCCATTTTGAGTTGATTTTTGTGTATGATGTAAGATAAGAGTCAAAATTCATTCTTTTGTATGTGGAAACTTAGTTTTCCCAGCAGCATTTATAAAGAGGCTATCTTTTTCCCATTTTGTCCTCTTGTGATGTCAATATTAACATCATATACTGTTTAATATTATATCGTATTAAATATTATATGATTAACATATTTATATTAATATGTTGCATATATGATATCCCCATTATATGTAGCGTAACATATATGTAATATATGTATGTCATATACTATATGACATGCCTATTATGTACTATTACATATGTATTATTATATATGTTATATATTATGGAGTATATGTTATATATTATGAAATATATTATGTAATATTAAATATAGATTATATATATTATGTAAGCATATTTTATATCCATATATATTCCATACATATATTTTCATACATGTTTCATATATTTATTTCATACATATATTTCATAAACATATTTCATACATATATCCATACATAATATTCCATACATATATTTTCCTACATAAAATATATGTATGGAATATATATGGACATAAAATATATAAGAAGGAAATTTGAGGTTTTGGAAAATATATTGTTGAGGGAATGGACCGTGGTATATATACCTGCCCTGGATAATTCTAACCATCTGTTTCTCCTGCCTACATAATTCTGCCCCAACTGGTTACATGGAAAACGCTGGTTTCCTAAAGTGATAGGATTACAGGTGGGAGCCACTGTGCCCAGCCTGATTCTGGAATTTTGTATATGCAGACTCCTCCTGTTAAAATAATATATATAATATGTAATATATATTCCATAACATATGTAACATACATACATATATTTTGTACTATGTTTTACATATTATATATTATGTTGGCATATATTATATAATGTACATTATCAATAGTTATAATATGTATAATATATATTCCATTGTATATAACATGTAATATATAATGGAATATTATTCAGCCTTGAAATAGAAGGAGCCACGATATGAGTGCACCTGGAGGTCATTATGCTAAGTGAAATAAACCAAACACAAAAAGAAAAATATTGCAGATGTCACTTACATGAGGAATTTTTTTTAATCGAAAGAGAGCTCAAATGCACAGAAACAAAGAAAGAGACCACTGTTATCACAGGCAAGAGGGTTGGAGAAGGAAATGGGGAGATGTGGGTCAAAAAATACAAAATAGCAGATCTGTATATGAACACCACACAGGTGATAGTAATGTTAACGCCCTTCCTAAGGTGTCATTCAGAAGCACGTGGTCTCCATCTGACTCTCACTGGTGATAGTGATTTGATCACCTGGTCCAGATGTTGTCCAATTTCTTCGCTGTACAATTTCTATGATCTTTTTCTCCATTCCAACATATGAGCAGTTTATAGAGAGACATTTAAGGCAATACAAATATTCTGCTTGTCATGCAAATGTCCCCTAGTTATGTCATGTAGACGACAATTCTTGCCTGGTTCAATCTTTACCACTGTGATGCCTACAAAATGCTGTGGATTGTGGCTGAAATTTTGAGTTTTGGGTGTACAGATAGTACTTAAAGAGATGAGATTCGCTGCTAACTCAAAGTGAATGATTATAGAACGAGTAGAAGGCTGAGGACGGAGTCCCGGGACACTCGAACAAGCAGAAATTGAAGAAATATGCTGGACCGTCAGATTTCACCTGGTCACGGCCGTCATGCCAATCCAAGCTTCAAAACTACACTTCCCAGCATCCTCTTCGTCCCTGCTTCCGTATTAGACGCAGCCAATGAAGTCCCGCGAGATTTGGAAGGCGGCAGTGAAGCGGAAGCCATTACTCTCTGGAGTCGATTGCCCCGAGACACATGGGCCAAGGAGGGGGTTCGTGGCGAATTCTTTCGACCTGTTGGGGGCCCCTCGCTTCCCCACGCCAGACGGGACCTCCCGTATGAACTTCTCTTCGCTTCGGCAGCAGCTTCCGTCACCTCCGCTCCCCGATCCTACTCCCAGTCGTGTAAGCCCTGCTTTCCTTAACCCTTTTCCCCCTCAGTTCCTGGGGTCACGGGAGGCCTATTTGGCGGAGAGGACTAAGGGGGCACAACGGTCGGACACTAAGGAGCCAGGCAGCCAGACGAGGGGTGCATTTTAGATCTCGCGATCAGCGATATGAAACGCTGGGCACGGGAAGGATGAAATTGGACCACTGCAGTTAGTGATGAGAGAGGCATTGGTCACCTGATCCTGAAAAGCCCTGAGTCTCTGCGGGTGGGGGCGGAAAAGCCGGGCAGAAGTGAGTTCAAGACTTTGGGAGCAGTTCAGGAGATTGGGGGTCGTCGGGATGTGGACATAGAGAAGAGTAACCACCTTTCTGCTCTGTAGTCAATTTTATCTTAACGTGAGTGTCAGCACACTGGTGTTCTTTTTAGCATTTACCTTGAGTACCTTTTGTACTTTTAAGTCCTTCTGGTTGCACTTTTTTATTTATTTTAATTTTAGTGGACTCTTGTAAATAGCCTATACGTAGATTTACTACTCAGTTCAACATTTCGTTAATTAACTCTGGAGTTAGTCCAGTCATACTTGAATTTTACCGTGTTATTTTGTGCTGTGTCCTTTACTGTGAAAATATGTTAACACTGGAAAATAGGACATACATGCAAAACAAAAGTATGATTACACACACACAAACATACACACGAACAGTTAAAAAAAACAACCGTAAAGTGAATCTACAAACTAAGCCAAGAAAGAGATTATTAAATCTCAGGAAGCTGTGTGCCTTTTCTAAACTGCATCCTCCCCTCCCACCAGTATCTGCTGTGGATTTGACTGCTTATACATCTTTTCCAGAAAACAAATTTCCTGATTTTGGTAATTATTAGTGAATGAACTCAGGCTCTGCAGTATTTTTGGAAACAATCTTTTTCCATATTGATGCAAGCACACCTTTGTAATTTAGAAATTTCTAAATATCTTGTAGGTGAAGTACTTAACACCTAGCCATTCTTTTTCAGGAATGCCATGGCTTAAATTCTAGAGTTAGTTCACCAAGTTCCACATAGTGGGCTTTAGTTTTCAAGCTGTGGTGAATCTATATTTCAACTTAGAGAATATTGGCGTTTTTATGCCGTTGAGTTGCAGTTAATTGATTTACATCATTTATTTACATCTTCTTTGATGCCTTTCAATAAAGTTTTGTTTGTTTTTGTTGTTGTTGTTTGAGACAGTCTCACTCTTGTAGCCCAGACTGGAGTGCAATGACAATCTTGGCTCACTGCAACCTCTGTCTCCTGGGTTCAGGCGATTCTCCTGCCTCAGCCTCATAGGTAGCTGGGATTACAGGTGCCCACCACCACGCCCAGCTAATTTTTGCATTTTTGGTAGAGACGGGATTTCAACATGTTCACCAGACTGGTCTCGATCTCCTGACCTCAGGTGATCCACCTGCCTCGCCCTCCCAAAGTGCTGGAATTACAGGGGTGAGCCACCATGTCTGGCTCAATAAAGTTTTATAAGTACCTTCAAAACGGATTTAAGTTGTTTTTGTTATATTTATTCTTAGGAGCTTTGTTTTTTTGGTGCTCAGAAAAGTCTAACATTTATGTAGTTTTTTGGAAGTTCTTCGTAGATAAGAAAATGTACCCAATTCAAAAGGAAATGTAAATATTTTATACAGAAGATAAATTGTTTATTTTCTTTCTTTGCTGGACTGGCTGGGGACTTCCATTGTCGTTGACTGGAGTTTGGATGGCACACTCTAGGCAGACCTGTTTTTTTTTTCCGGATCTCAAAGGGAATTGACATTTCTGTTTGCCGAAGACTTTTCTAAGATAGTTTTTATTAGGCCAAAAAAGCTTCCCTCTTTTCCTGGTTGAGTTTTTCTTGTGAATTGCTGCGGGCTTTTAGCAAGCGATTTTTTTTTCTCACCATCTACTTTTGTATCTGTTTACTGATACATTTCAAGTACTTTAAATGATAGCACTTGGTACTGCTGTGTAATGAATGAACGAGTGAATAATACAATTTTGTTTTTTATCCTTTAGTGTGGCAAATTAAACCAATTGATTTTCTGTTGTTACATTAAATTTGTATTGGTAACGAATTTGGAAAGGACATGTTACTATTTGTTATTTTTGGTTTCAGTTTGCTAATATTTTGTTCGGTGTTTTTGGATCTATGCTTGAGTGAAATTTTCCTTTTCTATTTCAGATTTATGCCAGCCTCATAAAATGGGATGAGAAGTGTTCTCTTTTCTAAACTCTGGAATGTTTTACATAAGAATAGAATCATTTGTACCTTTAGAACGGGCGTGGTACCTGCAGAAACCATTTGGGTCTGGAGTTTTCTTTGTGGAAAGTTTTAAAGCTATTGTTTCTGTTCTTTTAAGGGTTGTGGGGCATTCAGGTTTTTTGTGTTATGATGAGTGAAATTTCTTTAGGAATTTATTCCATCTGAGGTTTAAATTGTATAGTCAAAGTTGTTCATAATATACTCATACTTTTAATGCTTGCCACATTTGTAATGTTACCCACTTTTTTATTTGTAATGATTATATATTGCTTTTTACAAAAATAAATTCCATCTGAATGTTGTCAGTTTCCTTCTTAAAGAACTTCTGGCTTGATTGAACCATTTTATGATATATATATGTTTTCTATTTTATGACTTTCTGATTGGTATCATTTTCTTCCTTCTTGGGATGTTTCTTTCCAGTTTCTTATGGTGAATGCCTGTCACATCCCAAAGAATTGCAGTATCATACTTCATTGTATTTTAATTCTAAATATCAAATATGGCTTCTTTGGCGTGCAGATTTAGAATTTTTTTTCTTATTTTCATTTCTGTGACTTTTTTCCTTATTATCTTTCGGTCATTGTTTGCTAACTGCATTGCTCTGTGGCCAAGCATTTTCTGAGACAAACGTGGCCTCGTGTGGTTGGAATTTATGGTTAGGAAATGTTACTTCATCATGTTCAATCTGCATGTAGTTATTGAATTGCCTGCTTGAACTGTATTTGTGAGAGCTCTGGTGGTGGCTTCATCCATTTCTCCTTAGTGTTCTGTCCCTTTATTTTTTATTTTTATGTTTTTGGGTTTTTTTTTTTTTTTTTTGAGGCTATGTTTTATAGACACACACACACACCTCTTTCTTGGTTTATAATTTCATTACGTAATACTTCGTTTTTCTCTATGAGCCTTTTTGCCTTAATCTATTCTGATACTAACCAGCTTACTTTTTTTTCACTTGCCTTATATATTCTTTTAGTTCCATTCTTACTGCATTCTTGTATTTTAGATGTCTCATACATAGCATATAATTGGATTAATCTATTCTGTGAATATTAGTATTTTAGTTAAAGCATTTATTCCATTAATATTTTCTGTATCAATATATTTGAATGCGACATTTGTCTTTTATTTTTTTCTTTTCTCTGGCTTCTTTGCTTATTTTTGTCATCCTCCTTTTTTATTTTCTGTACATTTTGAATTTACTCTCTTATTGCAGTGGTTGTTCTAAACAATTCTTACGCATGCTTGCTCATTAAATCTAGATTTGGATATATGTTACTCTCCTGATTTACATGGTTTTCTTATATGCATTTTTGGTTTTTTATGGCTACATCATAGTTGCACATATTTAGTTCTTTCTTTAAACCTCAGGAAATTATTATTATTACATACCGTCATTTCTTATTTCATTATACTCACACATTTGCCACTTTGAGCACTTTGATTCTTACACTCTTTGCTTTGGTTCTTTGATTACTTCTTTCTCCCTGAAATATGTCTTTTAGGATGTCTTTTTTCTGTGGATTGCAAGCCCAAAGATACTGTTTTTCCCTCTTTCTCAGTGGACATTTTTGGTAGTTATAGGATTTTATATTTTATTTCAGAACTATGAAGATGTTCCATTTTCTTCTGGCTTCCACTGTTGCTAATGAGGAATCAGCTGTCAATCTAATGATTGTTTCTTTCCCTTTTTTTTTTTTTTTTTTTTTTGAGATAGAGTCTCCCTCTTGTTGCCCAGGCTGGAGTGCAATGACATTATTGGCTCACTGCAATCTCTGCCTCTCCTGGGTTCCAGCAATTCTCCTGCATCAGCCTTCCAAGTGGCTGGGATTACAGGCACATACCACCACACCCTGCTACTTTTTGTATTTTTAGTAGAGACAGGTTTCACCATGTTGGCCAGGTAGTGGTTCTTGGGGGTTGGTCTCCTAACCAGCAGCATCAGTATCACCTGGAAACTTGTTAAAAATACATACTCTTTGACCCCACACCTCAGATCTTCTGAATTAGAAACCTGGGGATGGGGCCTAGAAATGTGTTTTTTGTTTTGTTTTGTTTTGTTTTGAGATGGGGTCTCACTATGTTGCCCAAGCTGGTCTCAAACTCAAACGTGCAAGTGGTCCACCTGCCTTGGCCTCCCAGCATGCTGGGATTACAGGTGTGAGCCACCATCCCCAGGCTTGGTTTGTTTCTTACAGTGTGTTTTAACAAGACCTCCAGGTGACTCTCATGTAACTTCAAGTTTGAGAACTATTGCTTAAAAGGTAACCTGTCTTTTTTCCCTGGCTGCTGTTAAGATATTCTTTTTACCATTGGTAATTCTCTGGTTCATTGTGCCTAAGATTTCTTTTTATCTGTTTATATTTTCCTTCCAAAATGAAAAGTCTATAGCCACTATATTTTACAGTAATTGCCTGGGCTCCTTCTCTGTCTCTCATCAGTAACTCCAGTTAGAAATGGTTCATTTCCTTATCTTCTGTCCCTGCGTGATTCTTAGCTGTATTTCTATGTTCCTCAACTCTTTTCTGTGCTTCCCTTGCATTCATTTATTGCTACAACTAGCTTTTAAACTTCAGCCTGCATAAAAATTTCATGTAGAGTTTGTTAAAGTACTGATTCAGTAGCCCCCCCAAAGAGAGTTACTTAATTTAATTGAGATAATGATCTGGGTGTCAGAATTACCTGAAGTGCTCCAGGGGATGTTTATGTAGGAGAAGATATTTAAGAAACAAATTTTTAGTAACTTAAGCATATCCGAAGAGTGACCAAAAAAAAAAAAAAAAAGAACAATTTTTTTTCGGGGGGGGGGCTATGTGTAATCTAAAAGCTATTTATTAGAGCTTTTGTTGTCGGTTTCCATTTTGCTTTTATTTTAGGAATTGTAACTGTCCTTTAGAAATCATAAATTATTAATTTTCTTCATGTTCATTTCTTGCCAGCTCATGAATTTGAAAGCTACCATCTGTTGGTACTTTGTGCTGCATTTGAAATAGTTATGTGTGGAATGTTTATTTGGGGCACCTAAGTTGCTTGTTGGAAACAGAAATCTTACCCTGCTCTCTACCCGCTGGGACAAATCATCTAGTTGGTTGAAAGGAAGGGTATATTTTTGATTTACTAGTGTAAATGGCCTATGATGTTCTCACAACCTTTGTTGCCTTCTCTGTCTTTCTTCATATATGTTTGTGTGTGTGTGTGTGTGTGTGTGTGTGTGTGTGTGTGTGTGTAGACAGATTCTCATTCTCTCACCCAGGCTGAAGGTGCAGTAGCATGATCTTGGCTTACCGCAACCTCTGCCTCTAGGATTCAACTGATCCTCCCACCTCAGCCTCCCGAGTAACTGGAACTACAGGAGTGCACCACCATGCCCAGTAAATTTTTTTGTATTTTTAGTAGAGATGGGGTTTTACCATGTTGGCCAGGCCATTCTTGAACTCCTGACCTCAAATGATCTGCCTGCCTCAGCCTCCGAAAGTGCTGGGATTACAGACATGAGCCACTGTGCCAAGCCTATATTTACGTGAATTGACTGGTAGAAATAGCAAGGGCAGAAATACCAGTCAGTAAAAGTAAGAAAAGACTTCTTCTCTTTACAATATTTACATCTGCAAATTCTGAATATCCTGGGACACTGTGATTAAGTTGAATGTGGGGTTAAAATCAAATATTGGGAGAATTATGATCCCAAGAGAGCTCCTCATGGAACAGTTTTGGGCAGCATTTGTTTTGAACCACAAACTTGTGGAGGAGGCAGATCTAAAACTGAGGAGCAGGGCTGGGGCGAGGGTGAGGTTTGTGAGTGCAGGGCCAGGGAGCAGCCACTCGCTCTGAGCCAGCCTCGTATGTGCTTGTTGGACATCGGAAATGCCTCCTTAAATACTACAGTTGTCTAGCTGCCTCAGTTGCCATATCCCCGTCCTGGCCCTGCTGAGGAGAAAAAGAGATCCCAATGAAAATAGAGTAAGATTTGTAGAAGTAGAAAAATAGAACTGCTTTCACCATGCTGCTAAGAAAATTAAAAGAGAAATTAAGCAACCTCAACAGCTCTGAAAAATTAACTGGTCCATTCTAACCTATCCATGGTGACAGCGTTCCGATGATCCTGGTTTCGCTTCGTGTATCGTGTTGAAACGGCAGAACGCCTCTGAGTTCATAGATCCTACACCTGCCCTAGACTCCCTGCTCCACATCCTGCTGGGTCACTTTGATGCTGAAATCTTCTGCTGCATTTGTATTCCAGGCCACCCATTCTCTGAAACCTTCTGATACGGTTTGGATGTATATCCCCGCCCAAATCTCATATGGAAATGTAATTCCCAATGTTGGAGGTGGGGCCTGGGGGAGGTGATGGGATTATGGGGATTTCTTATGAATGGTTTAGTACCATCCCCCTTGGTACTGTCCTTGTGACAGTGAGTGAGTATTCCTGAGATCCGGTCCTTTAAAAAGTGTGTGGCACCTCCCCACCTTCCACCCTTGCTCTCTTGCTCCTGCTTCACTGTGTGCCTTGCCTGCTTCCTTTTTGCCTTCTGCTGTGATTGGAAGCTTCCTTAGGGCCTCCCCAGGAGCAGATACCTGGGGAGGTATGCTTCCTGTACAGCCTGCACAACTGTGAGACAATTAAACCTCTTTTCTTATAAATTACCCAGTCTCAGGTATTCCTTTATAGCAGTTGAGAATGAACTAATACACCATCACCCAGCACTGACTCAAAGCGATAGAATCACTCAGGTGAGAAATTGGCCACAAGCTCCACTCTGAGCTCTGATTTGCATCATTGCAAAACATCGACAAGGTTTCACAGACCCTTAATTGATATGGGTACACTACGCTCCAGCCCTCTGGACGGCTTGTCCCTCATGGAGAGTGGTGGTGGATGTTGGCCCGTGGGTTTTGGGCCAAGCCATAGGGCTGTGTCCTAGTGCCTGGGTTACTGTTTAATTTCACAGGACTTTCTGAGGAGATCCCAGACCCCCTACATTTCATATACCCCTGCCTTATGGTCCTCCCAAGGTGCCATCCCCTGGGTGTCTGTCTCAATACGAAGGCAAACGTGGATCAGTTTGCTCATCATCCATTCATTCTTTCATTCCCTACTTATTGTCATATTTATATCAGGCACTGAAATGGTGAACGAAATATCAGAGAACTTGAAAAACCTCTAGTTACCTATAATGTATTTTCTAGTTGGGCGCACAAGAAATCAAAACAAGTAAACTACATAGTGTGTGGAAGAGACAGCAGAGAGATAATAATGCTTACCCAGTGTTCCCTGTGCGTCCTGCATTTCCCAGGATCCTTGGAGCTGGCAGGGGCATGTGACTCGTTCTGGCCAATGGGCTGTGAGTGCTTCAGGGTCAAAATATAGGCTACAGAATGCACAGTTGTCCACTTCCTGCTCATCTTCTATGACCAAGATGGCCAAGGGTATCAGTTGGTTCAGAGACAAGTATCCCTGAACAACAGGAAAACTTTCGACACCAGCCTGGGTTGAACAAGTGACATGAGCAAGGCATCAACTTTCCATTTTATCGAGTTACTGAGATTTGGGCTTCTCTGTTTCTGCAGTAAAATATAGCCTAATCTTACTTAAACAGAATATTAATTGGAGATTAGTGCTTTGGGGAAAAGAAAAGTAGTGGGGAATTGGGATTGAAAGGAGAGGTTTGCATTTTCTTTTTTTTAAGACCGAGTCTCACTCTGTCACCATGCTGGAGTGCGGTGGTGTAGTCTCCACTGCATCCTCTGCCTCCTGTGTTCAAGTGATTCTCCTACCTAACCCAGGAGGTGGAGGTTGCAGCAAGCTGAGATTGCACCACTGCACTCCAGCCTGGACAACAGAGCGAGACTCCATTTCAAAAAAAAAAAAAAAAAAAAAAAGAGTGGCCAGTGAATGCCAGATCAGGACAGTTAAAGTTGAATAAAGACCTGAAGGATGAGAGGGGGCCAGACACACTGAGAATGTGGGGGGAAACATTTCAAGCAGAGGAGCAGCAAGTCAGAGACCCTGAGGTTGGAGCATGGCTGGTGAGGCCTGATGCACAGCAGAAGGCTCGAGTGACTTGGGTGAGGGGACCAGTGGCAGAGGGAGTTGTGGGTGAGGTGACAGGGACCTGGTCCCTTGGTCTGAGTGAGATGGGACACCATCAGAGGATCTTGAGCAGAGGAGTGATGTGATCTACATTTTACTCATAAAGTTTTGGCTGTCATAGAAGCTAAGGGAAGTCAGGGACAGCAGCCGGGAAACCAGTTAGGAAGTGGTTGGAATGTTCTAGAAGAGAAGCAATACCTTATGCCAAGGCAGTGGCAGTGTAGGTGGTAAGAAGACCAGAGTTTTGGATTAAGTTTTAAAGATAAGGCAGGATTTGCTGGTGATGCAGAGGTGGAGTATGGAAAAAAAAGAGGTGAGTCGAAGGTGATGATCAGCAAGGCTTTTGACTTGAGCCCCGGGGAGGCTGGAGCTGCCATCAGCGTAGGGAGGCTGGTGGCAGCACAGCTGTAGGGGTTTAGTGTGGGGTCCTGTTGGCTGATGCAGTGGGGATACTAAGTAGCCAGTCGGCTGCCTTTCACTCTGGGTCATTCTGGGTGGGGCAGGTGCCAGGGAGCAGAGAGTGGAACCCACTATCATTGAACAGTTCTGTTAAGTAATTGTGAAATCATCGGTGGTCAGTTTATTTTAATGATAATGGCATTTTAGAGTGAATGTTTGTTTAACTGAGCCTATAGAGTTCCATACATAGCCCAGTGTCAGAGACTTCAATTTCCAGATGAGAAAACAGTTTTGATAACACTCTTGGGAGGGAAATGGGCAGAACCGGGGGCTTGCATCAAAGGAGAGACTTCACCTCAAAATAAAGAAAAAGATAATTATAAGCCTTGTAATGTTTAAAAGTGGTAATATGTATAATTGACCTGAGTCAGATGTTACAGTAGCAGTGTCGCAGTTCTTCTTACCTCAGTGCCATTGAGAGAGTCACGGTGGAAAGTGCAGAAAGGAGACATGTTCATAAGAAGCAAATTAAATCCCGTCCCGAGGTGTGGGCCGCCATCCCTAGCTAATTTATTGTGGTTTTGATGTTATTTCCTTAATGACTAATGTTGTTAATCTTCTTTCCATGTGTTTACAGTACATTTGTATATATTTGGAGAAATGTCTGTTCTGTTCAAGTCCCCTGCCCACTCTTATATTGGATTGTCTTTTCGTTGTTGAGTTTATAATGGTATTAATCCCCTATCACATACATGATTTCCAAATATTTTCCACCATTCTGTGTCTCATTCACTTTCTTGATGTTATTTCTAAATGTTTGGTAGGGTTCACCAATGAAGCCATTTGGTCCTAAACTTTTTATTGTTTAATGGCTTTCGATGAACCACTCAGTCTCTTGTTATAGGTCTCCCAATTTTCTTTTTATTCCAGAGTCTGTCTGGGTATGTCTCAAGGAATTTGTTACATCTAGAGCAGTGGTCCCCAGCCACTGGGCCACAGACCAGGCTGCGCAGCAGGAGGTGAGCAGAGGGTGGACGAGTGAAGCTTCATCTCTGTTTACAGTGGCTCCCCATCACTCGAGTTACCACCTGGCTTCCACCTCCTGTCAGATCGGCAGCGGCATTCCATTCCCACAGGAGCGCAAACCCTATTGTGCGCTGCACATGGGAGGCATCTAGGTTGTACACTCCTTATGAGAATCTAATACCTGATGATCTGTCATTGCCTCCCAAAACAAGCTCAGGGCTTCCACTGATTCTACATTATGGTAAGTTGTATAATTATTTTACTGTATTGTTTTACCATAGTAAGATAATTACTATATGTAGTAATTTATGTATATATAGTAAAATAATTACTATGTATAGTAACTATATATATGTTTTTTGAGACAGAGTCTCACTCTGTTGCCCAGGTTGGAGTGCAGTGGCATTCAGCTCACTGCAAGCTCTGCCTCCCAGGTTCAAGCGATTCTCCTGCCTCAGCCTCCTGAGTAGCTGGGATTACAGGTGCGTGCCACCACGCCCAGCCAATTTTTGTATTTTTAGTAGAGACAGGGTTTCAGCATGTTGGTCAGGCTGGTCTCAAACTCTTAACCTCATGATCCACCCACCTCGGCCTCCCAAAATGCTGGGATTACAGGCATGAGCCACTGCACCTGGCCTATTTTACTATATATTATAACATAGTAATAATAGAAATAAGGTACACAATAAATGTAATGGACTTGAATCATCTCAAAACCATCCCCCCTCATCTTACCGTCCATGGAAAAATTGTCTTCCATGACACCGGTCTCAGTGCCAAACTGGTTGGGAACCGCCAGTCTCCATGATCTCCTGTGTTGGGGTACAGTTGTTCACGGCATTCTCTTCCAGCCCTTCCAATTTCCGTAAGAGCAGTAGTAATGTCCCAGCTCCACTTCTGATTTTAGTTACTTGCGTCTTCTCTTTTTCTTAGTAATTCTAACTGTACTTTTGTCACTTTTGTTGATCTTTTTTTTTTTTGCTTTTACTTTTGTTGATCTTTTTGAAATAACCAGCTTTTGTTTTGATTACTTCTCCTTCTAGTCTCGATTTCATTTATCTCTGCTTTCATCTTTCTTTATTTTTTACTTTCCGAGTTTAGTTTGTTCTTTTTTAGTTCTTTAATGTGTCAAGGTAGATTTCTGATTGAGAGCTTTCTTCTTTTGATGTAAGAATTTACAGCTGTATGTTTTCCTCTGAGAGCTACTTTTGCCACTTCCCATAAGTTTGGATGTGTTTTCATGTGTCTAAAAGTGTTTTCTAATCTCTGTAGTGATTCCTTTGTCCCACTGGTTAAGAGCATGTTGTTTAATTTCCATATATTTGTGAGTTTTCCAATTTTTCTTCTATTGATTTTTAGTTTTATTCATGGAGATAAAATACTTTGCGTGATTTCATTCCTTTAAAATTTGTTAATAATTGTTTATAGCCTAACTTATGGTCTATCCTAGATAACCCTAATTTGGGTATAATTTGATTTTTTTTTTTTTTTTTTTTGTAAGCATAGTTTATTGGGTTTTGCTGCATCTGTTTGGGTTTTTATGTGTTTGTTTTGAGGCTTAGACAATAGAAATGTATTTCTCACCATTCTGAAGTCTGATAACTCCAAGATGAAGGTGCTGGCTGGTCTGACTCCTGGTAGAGGCTCTCTTTCTTGCTTGGAGACAACTGCCTTCTCCCTGTATGCGTGCATGGTTGAAAGAGAACCTGTCCACTTTTAAATGTAGGCACTTAACCATTTCCTCCTGAGAATGGGTTTAACCTCATCTCACAAGTTGTTTTTTTTTTTTTTTTTCATGTATCGCAAAATATTTATTAATTTTACCTTGTTCCATCTTTTACATAGAGTTTTTTTGTGTTTGACTAATAAATATTTAGGAATTTTCTAGATTCTTTAATGTTCTAGTTTCAATTTAATACATGTGCTGTCCTTTGAAATGTATTGAAACTTTATTTTTTATGGTCCAGCATATATAATCCTGGTTCTCTTGGCTGTTGAATTGGAGAAAGTTAAATGATTCAGAGATATATGGGAGGTGTAATTCATTGATCCTTTTTAAAAAGTTGATTTTCTTTCATTTTCTCTCTCTCCCTGTCTCTTTCTCTTTCTCTTTCTACTTTGCTTCCTTTTTCTTTCCTTCTCTGACAGGATCTTACTCTGTGGCCCAGCCTAAGGTGCGGAGACACAGTCCCCACTCACTGCAGCCTTGACTTCCTGGCTCAAGTGATCCTCTTTCCTCAGCCTCCCAAGCAGCTTTGGAAACTACAAGTGTGCACCACTACAGCTGGCTAAATTTTTTTTTTTTTATCAAAAATACAAAATTAGCCAGGCTTGGTGGTGCGTGCCTGTAATCCCAGCTACTTGGGAGGCTGAGGCATCAGAATCACTGGAACCCAGGAGTCGGAGGTTGCAGTGAGCCGAGATCACATCACTGCACTCCAGCCTGAGCGACAAGACCAAAACTCCATCTCAAATAAATACATAAATAAATAAATAAAATTTCCATTAGCTGAAAATAAATAACAGAATTTCTGTCACCCCAGAAAGTTCCCTTTGTTTCTTTCAGTCTGTCCCTGTCTTGTGATCCTCCGTTGAAGCAACCTTTTTTTTTTTTTCCGGTTCTATCAACTTAATTAAGTTTCACCTATTCATGGATATCATATTGGTGGAAGCAGAGTGTTTCTTATGTGTCCAGCTTCTTTTGGCCAGCACCGTAGTGATTTCTCCATGTTGCATGTCTGCATAGTTTCCTTTTATTGCTGAGTAGTATTTCATTCTGTAAGCATATCCCAATTTTTATGTATACCCATTCTCTGGTTGATAAAGGTTTAGATTATTTACAGCATTTGGCTATGAGGAATCAGATTGCTACAGGCATTTTTGTATGAGCCTTTGTGGATATAAATTGTTTAAAATGTCTCTTATGTAAATATCTAGGAGTGGAATTGTTGGGTCAGATGGTCGGTGTGCTTGTTAAAAACTGCCAAAGTGTTTTTGAAAGTAGTGGAACTATTTCACACTCCTACTGTCAGTATATGAGAGATTGCCCCAAACTCAGCAGCATTTAGTATTGGTAGTCTTTTTTATTTTGGCTGCTCTAGTCTTAATTTGCATATCTCTGATGACTATGATGTTGGACACCACTGGACGTGATTCTTCTTGGTTACTTACATTTTGTGAAATGTCTGTTTATTAAAGTGTTTTGCCCTTTTTGTTGGGTTGATGTTCTTTTTTTCTTTCTGTTTTGAAGGAGTTATACTTGTTTTTTTTTTTTTCAATAAGCCTTTTGCACTCTTATGTAGGAGTTCTTTATATGATCTGAATATGAATTCTTTTTCAGGTGTATGCATTGCATTTTTTTTTTTCCCCACAATCTCTGGTTCACTGTTCATTTTCCTTTTTTCTTTTTCTTTTTTTGTTTTTAGAGACAGGCTCTCACTCTATTGCCCAGGCTGGAGTGCATGATCATAGCTCACTGCAGCTATTCTCTATTAATTTATTAGTGTCTGATTCATCTCAAAAGATTTTTTAATTCAAATTCAGTGAGCAGAGGAGGGGGCCGTTAGGGAGCAAGTTGGCAGAAGCACAGGTGGCCGGGGCCGCAAATCACTAAAGTGGGAGAGTTGATGTGAGAAGAAGGTTGCGTCGGAGATTTTGCCCAGAGAGCAGATTTCCAAATCATTGCCTGTGAGATGAGGCTGATTCTAGTGGTGATGCAGTCCAGGCTGTGGCCCAAGGATGTGTATATTAGTGTGCAATGTGGGTGCAAAGGGCATTGGAGGTTGGAACTCATGGTTAGGCCTGGGTGGACCATCTTCATGGATATCCTTAATGATCACAGGCCTTGAAGGTGAAGGAAGAGCAGAAGTCTAGGACCAGAGTGTTTAATGAGTGAGGGGGTTGAATATAGTTGTGCTTGGTGGCAAATCACTTAGGAAGAGTGATTCTGAACCCACTTATAGCAGATCAGGGGCTGTCCCCCGACTACATTGCTGGGAGACTTTACCTAAGAAAGATGAAAGTCCAGAATCAGCCAGACCTTGCTGCTCAGAAGAGGAAATGCCAAAAGACAAAACTTGGATTTTTATTCGGTGAGCAGGAGAGGCAGACAGCCTTGGACTACTCCTGGTGTTCTTTCCTTCGCTACAGATGCCGGCTTGGAGAGGCCCGTGAGAGCACGAGAGTAGCTTTCTGGTTGTCCTGGTGCCCTGTTCAGGCAAACCGACTGCCATTCTTTGAGGATGGCAGCACTGTCCCCAACACTTGGTAAGTTCTTGGGTCAGTGCATGCCCTGAGAAAGTGAATGTGAAGTGGCCCCTGCCACTTGGTGGGGTAAAAGATATGTACACTGCAGAGGGCTGCTGGGAGAGGATGGCTGAGCAGAAAAGGGGTAGGAACAGAACCCCAGCAGCCACCCCAGTGACTGTATCTGATGAGGGTCTTGGTGGATCTGGGAGTGGGGGAATGTCCATGTCATTGATTCATGAAGAGGGTGCAGGTAATGGGTAACCCTGCATTATCCCATTTATTATTTTGATCAATTTCAGCAAGGTCACAACTCTACCTCTCAGAACTTGCATTTCTTCACTCATGAGTTGGGTCTATGTCACTTCTTATGAGTATGTCGCCCACCACCCTCTTTGTGCTTTTAGTGGAATAGGGCTGTTCTGACTTGTTACACAAGTGATGTGTGCAAGAGAGATAGAGAGAGAGAGGATTGTAGATGAGAACACTCAGAGTCAGTGTGGAGCAGTTTCCTAGTTTGCAAATGTTATGAGGCAGGGGTAGGCTCTGATTCTTATGAACCCTCTTTTCTCCTCCAGCCATGTCCACCCAGGACTCCACCTATCTCCAGGAGTCAGAATTTCCTCTTTCTTCAAAAGACTGTTCCTGTCCCCAGAATTTGGACCTGTTCGCATGCAGTGGTCTGGAGCCTCACACACCCAGTGTTGGTTCCCAGGTGCGCTAAGATCTCCAGGCCCCTAAATCAAGAGAGGCACTTCCTAGAACACCCTCAGCCATGCATGCTGGAATTCTTTCCAAACTTCACATCAGCCAATGGATGCCAGAACGGGGCCTGAGAGAGAGCCAAGGAATATTGGGACTGTCCTGGCATTGGGGAAGTTAGGGGAAGTGATTTATGTAGCACCTGTTTCCCTCATGCTTGCAAAATGCTCAGGCACATGCTCAACCCCAGAGACTAGGCGGAAATAAAGCGAAAAGCTCTCAGAGTGGGCTGGAAGTGGAGGGAGAGTAGTCTCTTGTCAGGGTGGCATTTGAAGTGACGGACAGGACAAGATGGCCTCATCAGGGAGAGACAATGTCTAAGGACTGGCACCTGGAGAAAATGCTGAGATCTCTAGCAGGCCATCTGGAAATCCTGCGTTGGGTCTCATGCCGGGTCTTCAGCCTCAGCCATCTTACCATGAACACCGTTCAGCCAGTTCCTCGCTGACCCCAAGTTTGTATCCCATTCTAGGAATCAGTGACTTTCCAAGATGTCGCTGTGGACTTTACTGAGAAGGAGTGGCCCCTGCTGGATTCTTCTCAGAGAAAGCTGTACAAAGATGTAATGCTGGAGAACTACAGCAACCTCACTTCGCTGGGTAAGGCCCGCGTCATTCCTTCTCTTATTTATTCATGAATTAGATGTTTTTGTTTGAGTATGTCCTGTGACCCAGGAACTATGCAGGGGTTCAGAACACAGCTATGAACAAGCAGCCCTGGCACCCATGTTCGTGGGGCCTCTCCTGGGTATTGAGGCCCGTCCATCACAAGGACCTTGGGGGTTCTCTGGTATGTGTCTGAGCTTGGGCATGGGCTTCTGCGATACAAAATCTCCATTCTTTTGGAGGGTCAGTGTGTGGGTATTTTTTATCTTATTTCCTACTTCGTTTTCTTTTATTTACTTCTGGTAATGAAGGGGTCTCACTGTGTTGCCCAGATTGATCATGAACTCCTGGCCACAGGCACAAGCCACTGTGCCTGCCCTGTGACTTTGTTTTCTATCAATCAAAAACTTTTACTGTGTTCCTTAGAAATGTTGGCATCATCATGTTGCTGCTCCTAAGTCAGACTTGTCCACCTTCAGAACGTTGAGCCCAGGCTATGGAAGGGGTTGTCCTCTGCATGGCCCTCCCTCAACCTGTGTCTTTCCCATGAGTGTAGGGTATCAGGTCGGCAAACCCAGCCTCATCTCACACTTGGAGCAAGAGGAGGAGCCAAGGACAGAGGAGAGGGGCACACACCAGGGCGCATGTGCAGGTGAGCAAGCCCCAGGCAAAGAGCAGTGCAGTGACTCCACCTCTATTCTGTGATTGGGGTGGAGGGAGGGTGGTGAGGGAATGTCACCCAGAGAAATTGAGAAATGCTCTTTCCCTCTTTTTGCCCACCCATTCTCTGACAGATCTTTTGGTCCGCACACTCCTTCATCTTTGACTTGCACATTCTCATTACTGGGCTCTTTGTCCCATTCTTTCATCCTTGATGTTTCTGATCATCCGCTTTCTGTCGTTATCATCATCTGTCTGAATTGACTTAAATTTCTTTTTCTTTTTTTTTTTTTTTTTTTTTGAGACAGAGGCTCGCTCCCGTCGCCCAGGCTAGAGTGCAGTGGTGTGATCTTGGCTCACTGAAACCTCTGCTTCCTGGGTTCAGCGATTCTCGTGCCTCAGCCTCCCAAGTAGCTGGAATTACAGGTGTGCACCACACGTCCAACTAATTTTTGCATTATTAGCAGAGATGGCTTCATCATGTTGGCCAGGCTGGTCTTGAACTCCTGAGCTCAAGTGATCCGCCCACCTCGGCCTCCCAAAGTGCTGGAATTACAGGTGTGAGCCACCAAACCCAGCCTGAAGTGACTTAAATTTCTACCCGAGATTGCCATATATCTCACACGACCAGATTTTTTTTTGAAACGGAGTTTCACTCTTGTTACCCAGGCTGAAGTGCAATGGCGCGATCTCGGCTCTCCGCAACCTCTGCCTCCTGGGTTCAGGCAATTCTCCTGCCTCAGCCTCCTGAGTAGCTGGGATTACAGGCACACGCCACCATGCCCAGCTAATTTTTTGTATTTTTAGTAGAGACGGGGTTTCACCATGTTGACCAGGATGGTCTCGATCTCTTGACCTCGTGATCCACCCGCCTCGGCCTCCCAAAGTGCCAGGATTACAGCTGTGAGCCACCGCGCCTGGCCCAGATTTTTTAACAATTGCTTTTGCACCACTTTTCCTTACATAGCCTTAGGATCTGTCAAGAAATCCACCTGTCATTATCACCGTCATCCCACCATTTTCCTTTTCCAACAAATTAATAATTTCCAATTTGTTTTAGATTGGGAGACTCCATCTAAAACCAAGTGGTCACTTCTTATGGAAGATATTTTTGGGAAGGAAACGCCCAGTGGTGTGACAATGGTAAGATTTCCTTATGATTCTGGATCTTCCTGCCACATCTGAGCAGACTGGGGCAGCCTAGCTTAGAAAAAGCAGTTCAAACACCAGGGCAAGCAGCTTCCCTCAGAGGAAGCTGTGTTTCAGAGACACTGGGTATTACCAAGTTGGGGGAAACCTAAACCTAACCTCAGACTACTTCACCTAAAGTGTGTCTGAGTAAAGATTTTTATAGCTATGTCTCAGATATTGAGTGTTGGGGCTCAGTGCAGTTTTGCTTTATTTTATATTTATGTTTTACACTGACTTATCAATTCAATTTTGGTGGTGTTTATTTATTTTTTTGGTAGACAGAGTCTCGTTGCCCAGGCTGGAGTGCACCATCTTGGCTCACGGCAACCTCTGCCCCCCAGGCTCAAGCCATCCTCCCACTTCAGCCTCCTGAGCAGCTGGTACTGTTGGCATGTGCCACCACACTTGGCTAATTTTTCTATTTTTTGTAGAGATAGGATTTCACCATGTTGCCCAGGCCGGTCTCAAACTCCTGGGCTCAAGTGATCCACCCACCTTGGCCTCCCAAAGTGCTGGATTACAGGCTTGACCCACCATGCCCAGCCTCAATTCAGCATGTTTTTTTGAGACAGACTCCTGTTGTTGTCGCCCAGGCTGGCATGCAATGGCATGATCTCAGCTCACTGCAACCTCCATCTCCCAGGCTCAAGTGATTCTCCTGTCCCAGCCTCCCAAGTACCTGGGATTACAGGCGTGCACCACCACGCACAGCTAATTTTTAGTAGAAATGGGGTTTCACCATGTTAGCCAGGCTGGTCTTGAACTCCTGACCTCAGGTGTTCCACCCACCATGGCCTCCCAAAGTGCTGGGATTACAGGCTTGAATTCAGTTTTAAACAGTGAAGAAATGCTATATACAAAAAGCTTTGAAAAAGTAACCCAGGTGGAGCCTTGTGGCCTGGCATTGTCTTTCATGGAGCTCAAACAGGGCAGGGACAGCACTTCTGCACTGCAGATGATGACACCTCTAGTCATAATAATGTGCTATCTGTTTACAGCAGTGTATGTGGGGATAATGCTTAGGGTTGCAATGAATAGGAGAATTGCCTTAGTCAGCACGCATGTCTTAACCAATAGGAAAGAGCCGGTCTTGGAGAGAAGCCCACTGAATACGCTCACTTGTTTGAAGTCTTCAGCATGGGCACTCATCTTACTCAGCCAATGGGAAGGCATGCTGGCAAGAGGCCCTATCACCGCCGCGACTTCGGGATAGCATTCAAGGGCAGGCCACACCTCACTCAGCACATGAGTATGTACGATGGGAGAAAAATGCACGAGTGTCATCAGTGCCAAAAAGCCTTCACTACGAGCGCGTCCCTCACACGGCACCGGAGAATCCACACCGGGGAGAAGCCCTATGAGTGCAGCGACTGTGGGAAAGCCTTCAACGACCCTTCTGCCCTCAGGAGCCATGCAAGGACTCACCTCAAAGAGAAGCCCTTTGACTGCAGCCAGTGTGGAAACGCATTCCGGACCCTCTCGGCCCTGAAAATCCACATGAGGGTTCACACCGGTGAGAGGCCATACAAGTGTGATCAGTGCGGGAAGGCGTATGGCCGGAGCTGCCACCTCATCGCGCACAAGAGAACGCACACCGGAGAGAGGCCCTACGAGTGTCACGACTGTGGGAAAGCCTTCCAGCACCCATCCCACCTCAAAGAGCATGTGAGGAACCACACCGGGGAGAAGCCCTACGAGTGCACGCAGTGCGGTAAAGCCTTCCGCTGGAAGTCGAACTTTAATTTGCACAAGAAGAACCACATGGTGGAGAAGACCTACGAATGTAAAGAATGTGGGAAGTCCTTTGGCGATGTTGTATCCCGGAGGAAACACATGAGAATTCACATCGTCAAGAAACCCGTGGAATGCCGGCAGTGTGGGAAAACCTTCCGAAACCAGTCCATCCTTAAGACTCACATGAACTCTCACACCGGAGAGAAACCGTACGGGTGTGACCTCTGTGGGAAAGCCTTCAGCGCAAGCTCAAACCTCACAGCACACCGGAAGATACACACACAGGAGAGGCGCTACGAGTGCACCGCTTGCGGAAAAGTCTTCGGAGATTATTTATCCCGGCGGAGGCACATGAGCATCCACCTTGTAAAAAAGCGTGTTGAGTGCAGGCAGTGTGGCAAAGCCTTCCGGAACCAGTCCACGCTGAAGACACACATGCGAAGCCACACTGGAGAGAAGCCGTACGAGTGTGATCACTGTGGGAAAGCCTTCAGCATCGGCTCCAACCTCAATGTGCACAGGAGGATCCACACCGGGGAGAAGCCCTACGAATGCCTCGTCTGCGGGAAAGCCTTCAGCGACCACTCATCTCTCAGGAGCCACGTGAAAACCCACCGGGGAGAGAAGCTCTTTGTGTCATCCGTGTGGAAAAGGCTCCAGTGAACGCGGCTGCTTTAAAGACACAGGATTACTCAGACGGGAAACAGACCTCATGGATGTAAGAGGAAGCCTCTGTGAGCTGGCACCTTACTGAGTGCAAAAGAATCCACATAATTTGGGAGGAATCCAATTCCTATAAAAACTGTGGGAAAATGAGGTGTCTGCATCCCATGGGAGATTTGTGAGCACTCACGCTAGGGGTAAAAATGTACATCTGTAGCGTGGAGAAGCCCTCGGGGTACATTCGGCTCTGAACAAACACTAAGGCGAGAAACCCCAGCTTGGCATTTAATGCCAAAATGGCTTCAGCACCATTTGCAGCCTTCTGGGCCCATGAGTAATAATAAGCACACTAGGGAGAATCTCTACACGCAGTGGGTGGGGAAACTCGACTCCTGGTCTCCCTCAGTTCCTCTTGACAGAAATCACACTCAAGAGAGAAATGAGCGAAATAAGGAATGTGGGAAGGTCATGAATGGGTCCGCACACCATGGCCAGCTGTCTTCTTGTGGCTTGCAAGCTAACAACAGCTGCTCCATCTTTAAAGAGGAAGAATGTGCACAATAGAGAACATTTGTGGCCAGCAAAGTCTGAAATACTTCCAGTCATCTGTCCCTTTCCAGAAAAACTTGGCCAACCCTTGGTCTACAGCACGGGTTCTCAGCTGGGCAGCAATTTTGCTATCCGGGCATCAATTGGCAATGTCTAGAGACATTGTTGGTGGTTATAACTGGGGAAAGGTACTCCTGACTTGTAGTAAGAAGGCATCAGGGATGCTGCTATGTCCCCTCCAGTACATAGGAGCTCCCCACAACAAGAGTCAGTGCCCCCAAATGTCACTGTTGCTGAGGTTGAAAACCTCAGCTGCTGCCTGCAGCAACCCCTGAGTTTTCATGAATCTTATGAGCACTTATGCCAGGAGAAATTTCTTCTACAAAACTTTTAAAATACAATCAGTGCTGATAATTCCTATGTGGAAATGATTCTAGCCATGGTCCCCTCACTTGTGCGTGTGAATATTCTCAATGGGAGAGAAGCCCCAGTGAGATTTTCCAGTGAATACAGGATTGCACTTACTCTCTAATCATGAAAACAGACACTCCCCCACCCCAACCCCACTCATAAATTTTTTATCTTTATTTTTAAGGTTGCACTCTTCTAAATAAACTCTTAAGCCTCATCAAGAAAAGTTTGTATATAATATTTTTACTATAGCTTCATCCTTGATAACATCCTAATTTCCTTTTGGACAACCTCCTTGACCAGTGGCATATTTATCTGTGTGACACGAGGGTGTTTCTCAGTACTGGTTTGTTCCTGGCACCTGATTCACAAGCATTGTGACCAGAGCATCATATCTCCATCAAGTGGTGGTATTTTTGCAGCTTGCTATCTAGCCAAGAGTGACAGATACTTTTTTTTTTTTTTTGAGACTGAGTTTTGCTTTTATTTCCCAGGCTGGAGTACAATTACACGATCTTGGCTTGCTGTAACCTCCACCTCCTGGGTTCAAGCAATTCTTCTGCCTTAGCCTCCTGAGTAACTTGGATGACAGGTGCTTGTCACCATGCCCAGATTTTTTGCATTTTTAGTGGAGATGGGGTTTCATCATGTTGGCCAGGCTGGTCTCAAACTCCTGACTTCACGTGATCCACCTGCCTCAACCTCCCAAAGTGCTAGGATTACAGGCAAGAGTGACAGATACTTCTACTGGCTTCCCCAGTATCCACTCTTATCTTCCAATACCAAGAGAATCCAGTTCTTTCAGATTAGTAAGGTGTGCTATCTTTAAAAATTTCTGACAGGTTTTCTTGCAACTAGTACCATCCGTGTCCCACAGCACTGGCTGTGTCAGCAGATGTCACCACGTGGGCTTCTGAGAAAGCTCTTGAACAGGAGATCCATTACGTAGTATTGGAAGATCCACCTTATGATCATGCGGATGAATGTCAGGGTCTAAAGAAGTGGCTACAGAAAGCCCACAGTGCCCCTGGCCTCCCCTCTGGGTCCTGTGAGTGTCCGCACCAGCCCTGGACTCGTTACTTCCAGACTTCTATCACATGAGAAAAAATAAAACTGATTATTGGTTTAAGCTGCAATGGATATTTCATTGTTTTTCTTTTAAATTTATTTATTTCAAGATAGGGGTCTCCCTGTGTTGGCTAGATTCAAACTCCTGGGCTCAAACGATCTTCCTGCCTCAGTCTCCCAAGTAGCTGAGAATACAGGCATGAGCCACCACACCTGACTTGTTTTTCTATTTATTTATTTATTGGTGGGAGGGATTTCTACACCCAGCTAGATGCTGCCTGAAGCCCATGCACCTGGTCATTGGTGAGTTTTATAAGTAGTACCTAAACATGTGGGTATAACATGTCTACTTTTAATTGTGAGATACAGGTTTTTTCATTTGGTTAAACCAACCTTTTACATTGTATTTCAACTCTTTGTTATATCTTGATATTTTCTTGATTTACTGATAGAGATGTATTAGTTTTCACAAAAGCTAAAGGACAGGTCCTGTGAGCATCTCGGTTTTGCATGTGGGGAATCAGGCAAGAAAGCTGAGGTTGACTTATCTGTGGTGGGCCTGTTAGCTGGTAGCAGGTTTGCCTTTGAACCCTGTTGTCTCTGGAGCTTATACGTCCCTGATGCCAGGCACAGGCACTGTTTTGTGGTCTTCAGGGTCTACAGCAGTGATTGTAGATTTTTGCCCTGGTGGTGCTTACACTGTATTTGGGGTGGGGCACCTGATAAACTAGTAAATATACTGTGTATCAGATGGTGGTAAATGCAGTGGAAACAACCATGGTGATGAGAGGGAGCATGTGGGTTGAAGGAATATAAGATGGGTAGGGAAAGACTTCCATTTAAGCAGAGATGTCAGGGAATTGCATGCATGTGCCCTTAATCTGGGGAAAACCACCCTTGGCAGCTCAAAGGCCATGAAGAACTGTGCTTAGGGCAGCCATGCAGCAGCAGAGGGGCTGGTGTGGTGGGGTGGGGTGAGCCAAGCTTGGGCATCGTAGAAGATGATGAGGTCAGAGGCTGTTCACAGGGGCGTCTGGCTGGTTAACTAGATCTTGAACAGAAGAGTGACATCTATCCAGTTTCAGTTTTCAGAAGGATCACAGTGGCTTCGGGGTTGATAGGCTAGAGAGGGAGGAGATACGAACAGAAACCAGATAGAAGGCCATTGCAGAATTCAAGTGAAATGTAATGGCGGCCAGATGAAGTAGGAGGAGTGGTGTGAGAGTCATGTTGATGAATATAATCACAGTTTCATTTTCGTGTCCGGACTCTGACCCTATTATTGTTCTCCCACTATTATGCCGTGAACTGCTAATGAATAGTCGGATTTTCTCCTTTTTCTCAATTATGAACAGTACTGCTGTAAGGTGTACATGCCCTCTGGAGCGCTGGTAGGTTTTTCCTACTGTGTAAAATATAATAGAATATGGTGTAATAATACCATGTATGTGTTTTCAAACATTTTATTGAAATGTAACATACCCGTAGAAATATGCTTAATTCATAAGTGTACAAACCTTTATCACATGAACACTTCCACGTAACCACCAAGTCAAGGAAGAATATTACCAGTATTCCAGATACCTCCTCATTTTTCCCTCCAAATTACACACTCTACTGTGTAGGTAACTAGTATTCCAACTCTAACAGTGTGGTTTGGATTTTTTTTTTTTTTTTTTTTGACATGGAGTCTCGTTCTGTCACCCAGGCTGGAGTGCAGCGGCACAATCTCAGTTCCCTGCAACTTTCACCTCCTAGGTTCAAGTGATTCTCCTGCCTCAGCCTGCCGAGTAGCTGGGATTACAGGTGCATACCACCACACCTAGCTAACTTTTTGTATTCTTGGTAGAGATGGGGTTTCACCATGTTTGTCAGGCTGGTCTCGAACTCCTGACCTCAAGCGATCCATGCGCCACGGACTCCCAAAGTGCTAGGATTACAGGCATGAGCCATTGCACCTGGCCTGGATTTTTGTTTCTGAGGCCCTGTGCAAATCCTGCCATCCAGCATACATTCTTTCTTTTTTCCTTTTGCCTGTCTTAATTTGCCCAGTATTTTTTTGTGAAATGACACGTACTGTTTCTAATATCTCTAAGTAGTACGTTTTATTCTGTTTCTTTGAATATTCCACAATTCATCTAAGCATCTTATATTGATGACCATTGGACTTTGCAGTTCGGAGTTATTGTGATGAATACTGCTATGAGCACATTTCAATATTTCTGGTTGTGCACAGTGCCTGTATTTCTCTGAGGTGCATACCCTGGATAGAAATTGCTGGGTTCCTGACAGAAAATGCATATGAGATGCATTTGTTCATATTCAGTGGACGCTGCCAGTTTTCGACAGTTTATATTCCAACCAACTTGTGTGGCGTTAGACAAGACGATACTCATATTGCCCTCCTTATCTTACTGATTGTGTACTCTGCATGTGAGCCCTTTGGGTGGATATATGTTGTGTTGATATTTTCTCCCACTCTGTGGCATGCCTCTTCATGTTCACTGATTCTTTGGCCATGTTCAGATGACTGATTAGCTTATCAAAGGCATTCTTCCATTTCTTTATGGTGGCTTTGATTTCTAATATTTCCTTCTGATTCTTTGAGTTTTCATTTTTCTGCTGATAATGCAGGGCAGATGAGCCCTCAGATTGGGGGTTAGCCTAGGAGGGTTCTTGACTTTGCTCAGGAAAGAATTCAAGAGCCAGCCAGCGGTAAAAGAAATTGGCTTTATTGAAGCAGCAGGCCACAGCAGAGTGGCTGCCCCTTACGGAGCAGGGCTGACTCAGGTTATATGCCCAGTGCAGCAGTATATGGGCAGTTGGCTAGCAGTAGTTCTACCCACTTTTAATTACATGCAAGTTAAGGGGTGGGTTATTCAGCTAGCTCTAGAAAAGGAGTGGTAACTTCCAGACAACTGACAATGCATTGACAATATTGGCTACCACCACTGTCCATTTTCAGCTCTTGCTTTTGATTCCAAACAAACTCTGTACCCATTAAGCAATCACTCCTCAGCACTTCTGCCTTCAACTCCTGCTAACTTGTACGTAGTGTCCATGAATTTTGTCATAAGTAGGATCATAAAATATGTATTTTTGTGTGTGTCTGCCTTATTCCATAAAGTAATGTTTTCAAGGCTTATCTATGTTGTAGTATATATCAGAATTTCATTCTCTTTTATGGTTTAATAATACTCTGTTGCATATATGTGTCACATTTTATTCATCTATCGAACATATGGGTTGTTTCTACCTCTTGGCTATTGCGGATCATGCTGAGATATATATATGTGTGTGTGTGTATTTTTTTTTTTTTTTTTTTCTTGACAGAGTCTTGCTCTGTCATGTCACCCAGACTGGAGTGTAGTGGTGCAATCTTGGCTCACTCCAACCTCTGCCTCCTGGGTTCAAGCAATTCTCCTGCCTCAGCCTCCTGAGTAGCTTGAATTATAGGTGCCCCACCACCACCATGCCCAGCTAATTTTTTGTATTTTTAGTAGAGATGAGGTTTCACCAGGTTGGTCAGGCTGGTCTCGAACTCCTGACCTCAGATGATCCACCCAGCTCATTCTCCCAAAGCGCTGGGATTACAGGCATGAGCCACCACGCTCAGCCTCTCCCATTCTGCCTTCCTTTCTTTCTTCTTTCTTTTTCTTCCTTCTTTTCTCTTTATTAATCTTTCTTTCTCTTTCTTTTCTTTATCTCTTTCCATATTTCCTCCTCCTTTCTCTCTTTTTGTTTCTTACTTTTAAAATACTATTTCCTTGCAGAACTCAATCTCCTTTGTTTCTTTTTTATCTTTTTCTTGCAGCACTCACAGCCTTCATTCATTCAAGTTTTTGAGATGGAGTCTCGCTCTGTCACCCAGGCTGCAGTGCACTGGCCTGACCACGGCTCACCGCAGCCTCGACCTCCCGAATCCAAGTGATGCACTCGGCTATTTTTTTTTCTAAGTAGAGATGGGGTCTCGCTATATTGCCAGGGCTGGTCTCAAAGTCCTGGGCTCAAGCGATTCTCTCAGCTAGCCTCGCAAGTGTTGAGATTATAAGTGTGAGTCACCATGGCCTGCCCTCTTTGCTCTGTTCTTCTCTTTTCTTTTCTTTTTCTTTCTTCTTTTATTCTCTTCTTTCTTTCTTCTCTTCCTTCCTTCATTTCTTTCCTCATTCTCTTTTTCATCTTCTCTTTCCATCTCTCTCTTTCTTTTTTTTTTTTTGTTTTTTTGAGACGGAGTTTCGCTCTTGTTACCCAGGCTGGAGTGCAATGGCGCGATCTCGGCTCACCGCAACCTCCGCCTCCTGGGTTCAGGCTATTCTCCTGCCTCAGCCTCCTGAGTAGCTGGAATTACAGGCACGCGCCACCATGCCCAGCTAATTTTTTGCATTTTTAGTAGAGACGGGGTTTCACCAAATTGACCAGGATGGTCTCGATCTGTTGACCTCATGATCCACCCGCCTCGGCCTTCCAAAGTGCTGGGATTACAGGCTTGAGCCACCGCGCCCAGCCCCATCTCTCTCTTTCTTTATATTTTTCTCTAGATTTTTAAAATTCTGTCTCTTTTCTCTATTTCCTTCCTTTCTCCCTCCCTGCTTTCTTCCCTCCCTCCTTCCCTTCCTCCATATGTCTTTTTTCTCCACTCCCTCTCTCTCTTCCTCCCTCCCTCCCTCTGTCTGTCTTTGTTTGGATTCTGGAAGAGTCTCCTCATTCTGTATCTCCCTGTGATGCAGGTGTGAGCCACTGCACCTGGCCAATGGAGTTTTTTTTTAAATGCCATTTGAGTACATCAATCATTTAAGTCCAAGCCATTTGAATAAAAGCAGGTACAGGAAGGTCACTCTGACCTTTTTGCTGGTTCTTAAAAGCAGGAGGCGAGATACACATGTGAGAGTTGTCCTCCCTGAACTGGAAGGAAAATGTCATTCTTTTCTAAATTATTATTTATTTTTTATAGACAAATTCACTTTGTCATCAAGGCTGGAGTACAGTGGCACAATCTCGGCTCACTGCGACCTCCACTTCCCAGGTTCAAATGAATCTCGTACCTCAGCCTCTCAAGTAGCTGGGATTA